TTGCTCAGCCATAGTCCTCCACTTGAATGGTTTTGATCCACAATGTTCAAGTGCCATGAGAAAGAACTGGACAGTCAGACTGTTGGAGCCTTCATGTAAGCCATGATAGTGGTCTATATCCTACAAACAGTCAAGGAAACAATATACATCCCACATTACAGAAAATCACAAGTTTTTTTTTAGAAACTGGGACCCCAGACACCCCTAGTGGCTGAAGAAATATATCCTTGGTCAACCCCAGCTGCAAAATATATCCTAAGTCCATCCCAGACCAGAAATATATTTCTACAGTGTGACAGTCACAATTCAGGGTCCAGGCATAAGAAATATATTTGGTGTCCATCTCAGTGAAGAAATATATTTTGGGGTGTGTGACACACTAGAAATATATTTGGTGTGACATTGGATGTCAAAATATATTCACGTAAAAGTGGAGATATACAAGCCCCAGGATATATACAATATAGATATACACCCTGACATTTAGTCCCGTAGTATTCATGGAGTTTGCAAGACTAATAGTCAGTTGTTAGTGGGTGACTGAAGTGACTATACCCGAATCTATACAATTGATACTCAGGTTAAGCATCTGGATCACAAATCACTCATGGGTCTTGGTGACTGGCTTAGAAAAAAGTGGAATGCAGCTGTTATGCGTAAAAATGAGGCTGAAACTGCTCTGGAAAAACTGGAGCAGAAAGATATCACTGAAGCTGTTTTGAGGGAACAGTGGGCTGCTCAACTTGTGCAACAGACAAAGCCAAGTCCTAGGCAATCAAAAAACTTGGCTGATAAAATAATCCAAGAGATACTGGAGCTAAAGGAAACTATGAATGAAATAAAAGCAGAGCTCTATAAATTTGAGATGATGATTGAAACTAGCAAATATGATGATGGCTGGGAGATTTCAGATGTTAGATTGCATCTTGCTGACCTCAAGGACAACTATCAAAGAGTGGAGAAATCAATGAAAACTAAACGTACTACTTTGGGAGCTGATGGTCGGTTGAATCTGGAGCGCCTGCTTGGGAATAAGTTTCTTCGCTTGCGTGTCAATGCTCTAGCGTTAAAACAGAGATTGAGAAATCACCTACAGCAGTGTAAATTTGAACTTGATAGCTTGGAGAGAGCATATCGAA